TGGATAAGGTGGTGAGGAGAGACCCAGAGACCCAGGTTGTGATGAAAATGATGATGATTTTAATGTTAAATGTCAACGGGACAGAACAACGGGGAGCACAACGAACACAGGACGCACGACACAGTCCCACCTGTTGTCTTTGTCCGACAAGAGACAAAGACAACAGGTGGGACTAAATACACTGGGAGGATAATCAAAGAAACGAGACACAGTTGGGATCAATCAACAGGGAAGACAGAGACTAATAAACACAGAAAAACCTCAAAATAAATACACAGAAAACACAGATCACAACAATTTTACGATGCATTCGTGTCCACTTCAGTAAATCCACAAGAACCAGAAGAAAATGGCTTTTAGATAGCTGTCCACTGTAGCGACCACTATGCATGAAAGGGTTAATTCTCCATGAACTTCTTCATTCTTTGTCACGTAAAAAAAAAAAAAAAAATCTACATCACAGGATTTTGTTTTGGAAGCTGTAAATAGTAATTGAAAGAAACATGGTATGCATTTGGTTTCAGCCACCTTTTTTTTGATACTTTTGAATTTAGCACAAGCAAGCGTGTGTATTGTAGGTGGAGTAGAATAATACACTGAAAAATATCGTCCCCCTTTGTGAAACATGCCAATGGCCGCATCACAACGTAGATACCACATTTTCAAGACGTTTAAAGCTTGGGTTTGAAAATATTCCCAAGCTTTCAACTTGGAAAAGCTTGAAAGCTTGGGACTTTCCATTTGGATGGATGATGTTCATCCATCCAAAATGATGGATGAATATCCAACCAAACCAAACCTGCCAGGTTTCCTAAACTTACAGGCTGGACAAGAAGAACAATAACATAAGAAGCAACACGGTATGTCTGGAGGACAGAAATGAGTCCAGCACTGCTCAAATTTGGCAAAAAAAAAAAAGACATTACTGAAGGAGTTCGATACAAGTCGTAGAGCAGCAGATCATAAACTTTCCAGCCTCCGACCCACAAATGAAAAATTTAAGGGGGTCATGACCCCGACTCTTAAGCACACGAGTATTTTTAGATTAAGTAAAAACATTGTTCAATGGCAATTAAATCAGCATCAACGATAATTTTATTGGCCAACATTTTGATTTTATTTATTCGTGAATCCTGTTTTTTTGGGGGTTGGGAGGGGTTGACATTTCTAAAATGCATATGCTGTCTCATCATCATTTTTGGTATTTAGGTTTATTTCTAAGGATCTCAGGACCTCAGACTTCCATATTTGTGATGCCAATTGGGATCCTGACCCCAGTTTTGGTAAATACTGACATAGGAAACGTTTTGGCCTATATGTGAATGTCTGTGTCTGCAAAGAAAATCACCCTGACTCCACCATGCTACTGTAAAACATAGCAACAGCAGTGCTGTGGAGACAATAGTCTTCAGCAGAACTATATAAACCATTTTTTAAATCTTATTTTTGTTCATGAGATTTCAGATTTCTGTCTCACAGTTTTTGATCTTTTAGCTCACTTTACACCGATTCAGTTCCTCCGCCAATCCCGTCGCGTTGGGGTTTGCCTTTCTGGCTTGAATGGTTTTTGCTCCATCTTTTTCCAGCCTTCTTACATATTTCAACTATTTCACACACTCAAAAAAAAAAAAAAAAAAAAAAGCTGTCGTGTACTCTCCTTACAAATTGGTTTATATTTCCAAGCAGGAAAAGAGACGGAGACATACATTTGGCATCGCATGTACAAATCCAGACCGTACTTTAGTCTTTCCCACCGGACTATGTGCGAGAGTCCCATGTAAATCAGATGACATGGTCTGGTCGCTGAAGCTATCAAGATAGACTTTTTTTTTTTTTTTTTTTATGAGCTGAACGTCTGCTTCAATAGAGTCTTTCATAACATCTGGCCATTTCAGCCAGAGCGAACATGTATGCTGTGAAAGTGGGGAACGTGCCAGGTGTACCCTTGGGGGACAAACCCTCTGGTTACAGGGGAGCGGGAGTGAGGGGGGCTGGAAAGCACACGTTCAGATGGACAGCTTTTGGCTCAGAGGGGATATAGCATACAGTGAGCGGCTTTCATTTCCTTAGGCAATTGCCGGACACAAGAACTCAAATATGAAACAGAACATTCAAAATAGAGCAGTTAAATTTAGTGCCAGCCCACTGCTGCTCCTTACAAGGTAGCGAGATTTAACGGCGGGGGGCCTTCTGCCCGCAACGGTCCAAACACAATAAAAACGTTCCAAATCAGGAATCCCAAATAAAGCACTGCAACGTTTTAATCAATTAAGGCTGTGTGGAATGTGTGGCACTGCAAAGCAAACAGTGGGAGACCGTAATCACTACGTTGGGCCGAACAGCTTAACCAATGCGCACGCACACACTTATTTTTTATTTTTTTTAATCCAGCCTTACACACAGCAGGTACAAGGCTTACTCTGTTAGATTGATAAAACGGAGGGATCGCATGCAAATTGTGCCAGTAGGAGAGGTATCTAAAACACACACTTTACTCGCCACTTAACGTTGGTGTTAAGCCCATTTTCTCAGGTCAACACCGAGGTCACACCCTCTCCCACTGACTTAAACCATAAACTTCTGATGTTTACTTTTGCAGGAAATCCTTCTCCTATCTGCATACGTGCGACTACTGAAAATAAACTGAGGGATAGGTGATGTGTGGCCCCCGATCCCAAAAACCAAACACACGGAGAGGAAATTAATGTGTTTGACTGACACCGCTTCTCCGCCGCAGCGCTTCTGGCAGCGACTTTAGTCGGTTCAAACAATAATCTGTGAAGAAGATGAGGTGAGAAAACAAAATACACAATATAATCTGGAGTTATTTTGCTCCAGGAAGTTAAAGATATTGCGTAAGGAAGGGAAGCATGCAGGAGGTGTTGGATGACTGTGGAAATAATCATTCAAAGACAAACGCTCCAGTGTTTAAGCAGATAACTTTGCTTTGCGATTGTTTTAGTTTGGGTCTTCCTCTTATCAACTGTAAAGAAAAAGAACAGAAACTGAGAAACCAGGAGATACCAGAAAGTCGGTAGATGGACAACAAATAAAAATACATTTTAGCCAGAGTCTCTCTTTAATTTGACATCAACTAACAACATGTTTACCCAAATTTACAGTGGCTTAAATTTACCCTAAAAAGTAAGTGTGGCTACACTTGTAATTTGTGGTCATTGTTAATCTTGTGCCTTTGTTATTAGTTGACAAAGTAATGGTAAACAACATCTCCAATTGAACAATAAAATGCTTTTTAATAGACATCCCATTTTCTGGATGTTAACTGACCTTTAGCATGTCTTTGTTTCCTGCTCGTTATGTGAGATGCACAATTTCCTGGTGGAAGAAATTTAAAGTTTTCCTCCTAAATGGTGAGACTGGTCAGAAACTCAAAAATCCAAAGCATAATTTTTACATATTTATGTAAAAGAAAAAAAATTATTGTATCCTGACAGCATCAATATGAAGCATAGGTGCAGTAATGATTGCATGTATTCTTCTTTTTTAAAGCATTTGGGATTAATTAATCTGATACCGAACCTTCTCGTGATGATTCTTTATTTGCGGAACGATTTGTGAGTAACTCTTTAAGATGGACAGCAGCTTTACAGTCGCCCTAACCCCCTGACCACCTAAAAATGGTGCTTACTACAGTAAGAACATCTGGAACATCTTGTTCCATGTGATGAATGACCTGAGCATTTGTAGGAGGCAAAGCCAGCACAAGCTCTTTTTGTAGACTGCCTTCATGTCAGCAGGAATACTAAGACATAAAGAAATTTTCAGTAATTTTAGAAGAAATCAATCTTCCATAAACACCAGCAGTTTTGTTTTTGAAGTTTGTGAATGTAAGAAATTGCAAACTGATTTCCAAAGGAAGCTTAAGGGCACTTTCATGATGACGTTTTTACTAAAGTTTTATTAAATTAGGAAAAGGTAAGAATATGATGATAAAATCTTTACTGCTAGATTATTTCATGCAAGATCTTTGAAGATGGTTGGAAAAGTGTGGGAGGAAGCCAGTCATATGGATTATGCATTTCAGAATCTTGAAGCTGAAAATAAAGTGGTATGCCAAGATGTAGAACAAATAAAATGCAAATGTAGGCTTTAATTAAGCTTTTTAAAAAAACTTGACTGACCTTGTAATGCTATAACTGGGAAGCTTTGTCGGTTTTTCGTTATTTTGATCCAAACAATCCATTTAGCAGCACATCTAACGTGCTTTTAATTCAAATCTGTCCATTTCTGTAAAATATGCAGTACTGCAAATAATATCAAATTCACAGGAAGAAAAAAAAAAGCAACTTAAAACATCCACTAACACAAAAAGGACACGTACAAATAAATCTAATTTGAGCGAAAGGAGAGCAGATGGAAGAAAAACCTGCTTAACGAGGTCCATGGACTTCCAGTGTAGATGTGAATGTCGTATAGTACCAAGAAAGAAACACTGGTACCGGGTTAGGAAATAAAGTGTAGGGTGGCGCAGCAGGACATATACGAGCATATAGTGGTGAGGCGTGGGATATGATTGACAGATAAGGTTAGATTAAATTAAATTTCAACTTATAATATACTGACTCCGCTCCGAGTCCCTTCTTGTTTGCAGTTGTGATGGACAGGTTAACAGATGAGGCTACGCTGTTTGCAGATGACATTGTGATTTTGATAATTGTGTTATGAGAGTCTGGAGAGTGAGAAAGATTTTTAAAAGCGATTAAATGGAGGCAAGAAGAAGTACAACAAAATTCAAGTAGCTACACAAAACTTTGTTTTTGACTTTTATTTAGAGAACAGGATAGAAACCCATACACTAAGCATTCAGCTTTTTGCACAAAGGAAGGAACCCAATCCGTCATAAAAGCTTGGAAAACATGGCAACGTCAAACATCACTCATCATGGCAGAGAAACTCTCTCTGGCTTAATGTTTCTTAGTTCTCCCAGGTTTGCTTTCCAGGCAGCAGAGGTTTGGCCGACTCCTTTGTCTTCTCCTCTGTACGTTAAAGAAGGGTCAAATTAAAAGGTCTCCACATTATGAGGTCACGACCCAAGTTAACAGTCTCAGAGTTCTCAGAAAGAGAGACAAATGAAGCTAAAGTTACTGACGACCGGCGTTGAGGTGCACTCAAGAGCCCGAAACATTGGCTCCCACGGAGAGATTTAAATGATTCAAGCGGGATAAACGTTAGCCTCTCACCACCCGCGCATACTATACGAGACCTACATGTGTTCTCGTCTTGATTTACGCCAAAGTTGCCGTTTAAAAAAAAACTCGCCGGGTCGCAGTATAAAATGTTTTACCAGGGCAAGGATTTTACGAGTTGCAGCTGAAAACCAACCACATTTCCTCTCCTTGACCAAAAAAAAAAAAAGGGATTAAAAGCTAGATGTACTTCTGTGACAGTCAGCTAGAAACAATTCCAGCACTGATGGAAGAGGCAAAAAGTTAGATTTAGAAAAGAAAAACGTGAAAACATTTCCTCTATTCATCACTGTTTCTAGGATCTAACTTTTAGCCTTCACCTCCTCCGCACCCCTATAAAGCAGATGTTTCCTTTTATTATTCTTCATCCTCATTGTTTATGAGGGGTGCTCTGTTGGATCGCTGTGTCTCGCAAGTGATGGGAACATTTCCTTTACTAATTTGTGGGCGGGAGGACGAATAGCGCTACACGTACGAGGAAAACGATCTGCTCAGGGGAAAGACCGATATCCCAGCGTGGCCGTTACGGACGAAGTCAAGATCTTATTTAACTTTGTCGGTGTTGCAGAGGAGACATTTATCCTACCTGGACTTTGGTCCCTGAACATTTAAAGTGCAGACGAAGATGAAACGATTCACTTCTCGAGTGCATAAGGCACTGCTCTGGAACAACTCATTAGCTTATGCTGGATGGCTGACATTGGCTTAAACATCAACCGATAAATAAACTGCGGCCAACGAATATGCAACATGGAGTAGTTTGCTGAAAGGTAAATTAATCCTAAAACAGATATAGGCAGATTCCCAACACTAAGCACACCTCTGAGGAAAGAAGCTAGTTTTATAGATTATAAACCAAAGTATTGGGCAAGTTGGAATTTTTGCCAAACAAAAAGATAAAGACAGAAAATTTCATTTTATAGAGTAGAGAATAAATGTAAGTTTGCATCAATCAATTCATTGACTAAGGAATCAACTAGTAAATCAGCCAACATGTCAGTTCATAAATTCATCCCATTCACATGTTTATCGGCTCATCAGTCCATCTTCAAACCCAGCTGCCCATTCATCATCCATCCGTTCGTCCAGATGGGACAAACGGTGAAAGGCATTTTGAGACGGCTTCAAGAAACAACGAACAAATTTATAGCCGCTCTGGTCAGTTTTGGGTCAACGCCGACTTCTGTTCCCACTGCGATACGCCTGAACAACTTCCAAAGGCATGCTTAGACATCCTGAGAAGATGCCCAAACCGCCTCAGAGGACTCTTCTTCAGCCACTCCAGAGTTTCTCACCAAATCACCCGGACAGCCAAGCACTGTCAAAGTTACTGCAGAACAAGCCTGGAGTTTTCCACACCGGTGTCCCGACTTGACACCACGACCATTTCCAAACAGGAATGGACTTTTATCCCGTGACATTACTTCTTTGAAATAACTGCAGTCTGAGTCGACAGCGTAAAACGCATTTCCAAGCCAAAAGTCGCTTGTAAAAAAAAAGGGGGGGAAAGATTGAACCTTGTTACTGCCATTTAACCCCTTTCCTCTTTCTTGCGTTTGTTGTTCTGGTTGTTTTATACTCGACTTCTTTTGGTAACGCAGTGGTGAGGATATTTCATATCGACCGTTTGCGAGTACCTGCTGTACATTTTGTACTTCCTTTGGCAGCCAATAAAGTATTTCTCTGTGTTTTTACTCGCAGCGTACTGAAAGGAAATTTGGTTATATAAGCGCTATAAACATTATCTACCAGCAGGAGGTCACTTGGAGGTACTTGGATTCAGAATGTGCCGTTTTATGAGTCAACTGGACCAAAATAAATGCAAAAAGACTCTAATTCAAATAATGGAATACACCTGGATTAAACTACCTGTTGGAACCGTGACAATTTATTTCCACAGTTCATGAAAAGACCTCACTGCATCAAAAACAAAAAAATTCGAATAGACGAATAAAACATGGTTTGTGTGGAGTTGCACAATAGAGGAAGAGGGAAAGAAATGTCAACTCATCAGAATAAAGTTGGTGTGCAGACCAGCAAAGGGTGATCTCATAAGAGCTTCTGCTTTGGTAGAAAATAGTTGATTTGCCCCTTTAAAGTGTAAACAGCACTCTACAGCCGGAGAAACGAGTTGCTGAGTGTGAATATGCATATCTAATGGATTTCAAGAAAATTCTCACAAAAAAAAAAATCTCAAAATCTTGGTTCAAAAGTTCACACATCTGCTGTGTGAACTTTGAAATAAACCTATATTTCTGGAAAAAATACACGCCTGATAATCATTTAAAAATCTTTAAACATATTTAGCTAATTCTACAAGAAGATGCATCGATAATCAGCAGAAACAACGTAACATTGTCCGCTACAATAATTACAGCGTCATATTTCACAATAAACGTTTGAACTCTTTATAGTGACATAATGAGAAAGCCAGTAACCACAATGTGCTCCCACCTGAGTATTTCCCTGCAGCTCCACCAGCCTCCGCAGTGCAGGGCAGAGCGGGGATACGCCACGCAATTAAGAATCAGCAGTGACATTTACTGCTTCCTCAAACCGCCGCTCACATGTTCTCAGCTCCCCCCCCCCCCCCCCCCCCCCACCGCCCCCACCGCCGCCCCCCCCCCCCACTCAGCT